ATTCATCTCCCGAGCCAGTTGGTTGGATGTATGACATCCCTTCAAACTATAGGTCCTCATCTACAACCTCTCTATCCCACTGAAACCCATAAGTTGGGTGTAGATGAAGGGAATAGTATGCTGCATCATTAAGGCCAAATGCAAAATTAGCAGGTCGACAAGGGGTAATATTTTCCAAATTCCTGTCGAAATTACGTCTATCCACGTGGTTCACTTCAGCCATGAAATAAATTTGATCTGCCTCAATGTTCTCCACTATGCCATAATATTTCCATATAGTAATCCTTTGATGCATCAAAGATGGTACTGCTCTAATGCCATGTATCCACTCATGTCCCAACAGCAGGTTATAGTTAGCTTTCGATTCAACAACCATAAACATGGTTGGTCTGGTAATGGTTCCTACTGTCAACTCCACCTAGATCACTCCCAAAGTGCGTGCAATCTTTCCTTCATAGTATGACAAGACCATGTTATGAGGCTTAAGGCCTGTGTCGAACTTTCCTACTTTCTACAACATAAAGTACGCCATTAGGTTGACTACCGCTCCATCATCTACCAGGATCTTATTGATTTTCACATTTTCCACTTTTCCTCTAATGAAAAGAGGCTTCAGGTGACTTCTCATGGCTTCGTCCAACCTTTTGAAAAATTCATTTTCCTCCTCGACACAACCATTATTCATAATGTAGTAACATACATGCCTATTCCTGGCCATTTTAGCCTCCATCATATCCTCAGGCTCCTCGACCTATGTAATCTGGTCATAATATCTAGGTAACACAAAAACCACATTGCAGGTTATGTCCAAAAAAGGCTCAGATTATGTGTCGAAGTTGTCAGTTAACATGTCATCATCAACCAATGCCAACTTTGACTTGTCCTCGAATTATTCTTTTCGAGTGGGGAATAACTTCCTTCCCACAGGTTTCTTCTCTTCGCCTATGTTTTTCTCTGGAGGCTGATTGGTACTTAATTCTGCGATTGCCTTTTCATTGGCCTCCTTTTCTGCTTTTCTCCTCCTTTGTTGCCTTCGCCATTGTGACCTCGACATGGGGTTCTTCTCCTTTTAGTTCTCATATGTATAGGTTTGTTTCTTTGAAACTTGAAACTCCCTTCGATAAGCAATCGAAGAGGCCCAACCTACCTCAAAACTTTGCCACTTCTACTGGCCTCTCTCTCTCTCTCTCTCTCTCTCTCTTCAGCAGGCCTTACCCACTTTCCGCCGGGTGCATCAACAGTTTGTTTGAAGGTAGTTGGCTTATTTAGATGAATACTTGTTCCTCCTTGCTCCAACCTTCAAGGGATTCCCTCTTGTCGAAGGTAAAGTGGCTCCGAGTGTCTCTCCAATTCTCTCATTGATTGGTAATTCAAACTCTCTCAATGTTTTCAACAGTTTTTTCGTCGAACACTGAACTGCAGTTGGGGCACAACATGACCTCAAATTTCTTCCCCTGGCATCGGTGGAGGAATTCCACCAAGCTTTAATCACTCTTAGGGTACGCCACTTCATTTGCTCTTCACTTCGTCGATCACTTTCTTCGTCAGCTTCACTTTTTGCTTATTTCGACAATGTTGACTTCCAAGTTGGCACTGTCAGTGATCTTCAGCTTCTCCAACTTGACCCTAAGGCCCTCAGTAGCCTTAGTCACACCATTATTTTTCTAGAAACCTTTAGTAATTTCGACCATCTTGGTATTTTTGTTACAACTTTCAGATGCTTTGACCATGTTAATGATGGCTGGCTTAGTATAATGGGCGTCTACCACCTGGAGGGGGTTTGAGTCAATCTTCATCTGGGACTTTGTCTTGTCTCAAAATTTCATCCTTCCGTCCTTGATAGCATTCTACACCAAATTCCTGAAAAGAAAACATTATGAGGTTTTATGGCTAAGAAAATTGTGATATTTACAAAAACCTTGTTTCTTTCGCTGTTCTAACGGAGGTATTTTAGCGCCAGGAGACACTATTATTTGGCCATCTTTGACTAACAAGTCAAAAATCTCATCACATTTAGTGACGTCAAACTTATACGTTCTCTTTGGGAATTTATCATTCTTTTCTGGTTCGACGAGATTTTTTCCATTCGAAGGTGCAAAAACCTTGCATGAATAAGTTGGCCGTTGCTTTAATTCGGCTAAGTCGATTTCTCTTTCGTCGAGTGTAAAGGGTCATTATATGTCTCTTGATCATCTTCGTCTATGTTGACATACGCTAACCTTTCCCTCATATTATTATTAGTTGCTCTGGATTTTTCAGCCTTCAAATGTTCTACCTGTCGAACCCTATCGACCAACTGGGCCAAATCCCTCAAATATTGGCTGTCTAATTTCTTTCTGATGGAATAGTCTAACTCACCAGCAACCATTTCGACCAATTGATGTTCAGAAACTTGTGTGAAACACCTTGCCTTTAGCAAACAAAACCTATTAAGATAGTCATTTATTTACTCAACAAATTTACGCTTAATACTAGCCAATTCTTTGAGGCTGATCGCCGACTGCCCCATGTAAAATTGTTCATGGAACAATCTTTCTAAACGAGTCCAATCGTGAATCGAACTCTCTGGGAGTGTAGTGAACCATGTGAAGGTGTTTTTAGTGAGTTAACCAGAAAAATAATTTATTCTTAAGTTTTCGTCATTCGCAAGATCCCCCGCTTCAGTCAGATATCTCGCCATATGTTCGACAGTTGATTCACTAGTATCTCCTGAAAATTTTGTGAAATTTGGGACTTTTAATCGCCTAGGCATTAAGTTTGTCAAATATAATCAGATAATGAGGAAGTATAATTTGGCCTATGGAGGCCAACATTCACCCCATTTCGTGCCATAATTCTTTCGACCATGGCAGCCAAATTATTATCACCAGTTATACCATCATATCGAACTTGATGTACGACTTCGTCTGCGTCTTGATTCCTATTAACTATTACCACCCTTGGTTTCTGCTCCCTCGGAACTGCCTGTTCGATCCTAGGAGGCTCGACTCTAATTCCTTAATTAGCCAAATCGACACGGGGTGTGTTTCGCTGGGCTTGGTAAATTTTTTGATCTTCTTCAAGGATCCCCCTCTGGTTTTTGACCACCAACTTCGTTCGAATCTGTCGAGGCGCATGCGAAACTCCAAAGAACTATTCATTTCGTTATCTGGGCTGACAATTGCTGGTTTCTTTGGGTGGTGTTTTGAATCAAAGGATTAAATATGGTGCACATCTGTTGGGCAAGTATATGGACCATATCATGGTTACTTTCGTCCATTTGCTGTCTCAAGTTTGCTGCAGAATTCGTGGTAAAATTGGGCATCTGGGTAGAGAATTTCATCCCTGGGGGTGGTTTTATTCGACCCATGTTATTAACAATAGATCCAGACCTTTGCACAGGCGAAAACGTGTTCACCACAAGGTGGTCGAATGCTGCAGTTGCATTATATATATTCACCATCATCGAAGTTGACATGCCATATGGCTGTTTGTGACCATTTAAAGGCATTGTGAATCCAGACACAAAAGGCTTGAATGAAATAATACCCACTGGGGAAGGGGTCAACAGTTGACCCTGCGTCTTCACAGGGGACAAAATCGGTCCACTGTAAGTATTCGACGGTATCGCCGTCGTACTTGTTGTGAATGGAATTACTTCAGACGCAGACGTTGTGGCCGTAGTTTTACCCGTCGAAGGAGGGGGTGGTTCTCCATTATTATTTGGCGGATTCGCCATTGCTACGCGTCTCCTTCTTGGTATTGCTTCGTTATTAGTGGTTATTTTATCACTTCTTAATCTCATGCAACAAAGTTTCAAGAAAACCTTAAATGAAGAACTTCTAAATATTTTTTTCACTGGGCGTGCCAATTTGTTCACCGTCGAAGTTGGTAAACAACCATTAGTCTTCCAAATTTATTAAATCTTTGGTTACTTACATGATCGACTAGATTGATACTAGAACATGTATTGTTATTTAGTTTTTGGGTTTGTTAATTATGAACATTTCGACAATGTTCTTAAGGTTGTTAGTGAAGCGTTACAATTCTTTAAAGAAATGCAGAAAGATAGATTGCAAAGTAAATGACTTTGAAATAAATAACAAAATCTTAAATGTCGAAACTGCCTTTAAAATAAATTGCAGCAAATGTAAGTAACAAAGAAAATCTTAAATAATCTGATAAAAAGTGTAATGGTATTCACACATACATTTTCACTCAAGAACACTTGTTTCTCACGCACAGGTACTTAGAGTAAATTTAGAATTCTTTATACAAGCTTGAACACGCCTGAACCTAACTGCTAATACTCTATTTATACTAACTCGAAAATAACCGCTATCTAACGGTCTTCTTGTCAAAAAATGTCACGTCTTCAATCTGCCTGCATTTCACTGCTTAAGGCTCTCCACGTGACCTGAAAAACGGATAAGGTCAAAAGACAATTATCAACCTTGTTTAGCCTTACTTTGAATTGCACCTGTCGAACGCTACCTCAAGTGAGTTTCGTCGAACTTCTAGACCTAAAATATTTTTAAGTCCTAGACCATAACTTCCTTGATAAACAAATTCTGCATCAAAATGTTATCACTATTTTATGGAAACTAATATATTCTTTTTAAAAATATATCTTTGAGTTCTATGACCTGCTTCCAACATATTTTTTCTTAACATATTTTTCCAACATATTTTTTCTGGTTAAGTATTTATACGCCACTATCTCATTTGTTAAAATGTATTCATATTTTTTATAGTTGACATATTTCATGCAATTTAAATACATTCCAACTTGTTAAAAGTATATATCTCTCAAATACATGAAGACAATCAATTCCTTTTTCTTCTTTTTATAATTTAAAGTTAAAATATTCTAGGTAGATATAACTTAGAGCAACAAACATAGCATTTAGAGATATTGATGACAGAAGATAGAGAGCTTCCACAAATAACTTCAATTTGAATACAAAGGATTCAAGATTCTCTTTATTTCAATTACATCAATGATGATCAACATCTCCTCATCAATTGATTCCTTCTCCATTAAATTCTGATGCACTTTTGCGACGCCTCTCATTGTGTCCAGCCAAACGCCTTCTACAACTTCTCTTTAAGTCATCAAATTCTGATAATTCATGAAACCTACAAAAACAAAATTTCAAACATTAGTTAATAACTATACAAATTTATATGTTTTTGTTGATGATTAATTAATTTATTAAATTTTCTTTAATCTTTTTAAGTGATATGTTGTGCTAAAAACAATTGGATGAGATGGTTTAACAGAATCACTAATAACATTTCTTGTGTTGTCAATTTCATGGATTCAAAACATGAAGTGATATGACTAAAGTGGAAATGCCATATGTCTATTTTTGGCTTATTAACAAATACCAAATTCCAGAGTGACATTATGCTATTATTGCTATGTGATTCTAAAGGCTCATATCAATGTCCCTGTCACATTCCAACAACAGTGCATTAGGTAATTAATAAAAAATAAATTTCAGCACATTGCTTTATTTTTGTTATTATTTTCATTTGACCAGTTGCAAAATCTTTGAACAACTCAAACAATATAATTATTCACTATTAGTACAAAATCTTAGCACTATAGCTAGCTAACTGCATCCTTTAATAAAATTTCTAAGAAAATACTGATTTTAAGAACATATCTTTAAATCAGTAAAATAAATTCAACTCTACCTCACAATCACTTTCCTATAATTAGGTTGATAGGTAAAATATTCAATTTTGTAAAAAAAAAAATTAAATATTTTATTCAAATTAGTAAGTAGTCTCTTCATGTAAATATTAGAGTCAGACACGTTTTATTATTTATAAAATAGTAATAATAGATAATAATATAAAAGATAATAAATTGTAACATAGCTGTGTTAAATAGAGAAGTTAAAATTTAAAATAAAAATTAAAATAAGTATATTTGAAAAAAAAATACTAAAATTATATTTTAGTTAGAGATAAAAAATATATATGTGTATAAAAAGTTTATGTATCTGACATTATTTATTAATTAATTAGATATATAGATTTTTTAATTTTTTATATTAATAGAGAGACTACTTACTAATTTGAATAATTTTTTATTTATTTACAAAATTCAATATTTTACCGAAAATATTAAAAGTTCACTTTTAACTATTATTTTATATCCATAGTAAAAGCAAAAAAATAAAAATAAAAAATACCCTTCAACCAAGATCAACCTAATTAGAGTTGATTCTAGGGTTTATTAAAAATTGAAATATGACATAAATAAAATAAAAAGTGTTAATCTTTCCTCAGCCATTTCACATCAAAGATTTAGCTTCATAAAAAAAGAATAATGAATTGAAGAGATTAATTAGGGTTTTTGTGAACCTGCTACATTGCTGGCAAAACCTTTGTTGCATCTGAGAAATGAGCACAGAATGAGCCTTAGAATGGTTTTCACAAACCTTATGACGCTTATGATACTGCTTACCACCAGCTAGATCAGCATTACAGTTATCAACTTGACAAGAAGGTGTAACCGATCCACCAGCTTTTGAAACTCTCTTAACATGATGTTCACTCACTACTCCCCTTTTCTTCTTTCCATCATCCTCTTCCTCTTCCACTTGATACTCATAGCTTCTCTTTCCCTCACCCCAACTTTCATCCATATTAATGACTTAGAACAAGGCTATGGTGAAGTCAAGGACAAGACCACAACTACCTTGGTGTATAAATAGAAATTAAACACAAGGTAAATAAATAGAATATGTGTGGACCACAAATGTTTCTTTTTTTATTGCTTGCCAACTTGAGGGTAATTCTGATAACTTTCAATTTATAGAGCACTAGCTATAGAGCCAATGTTTGTCAATAGTGTCTCAAGACCTAGCACAGACTACCATCTAAACCCTTGGATTATATTTTTTTTAATTAGGTCAAAAATCTATTTACAAGATTCTCACATTAACATCATCATTCAACTTTCAAATTTTTTACTATTGACCAAAACATATTCTAATAAACATTTACAACATGAGTTCCAACTTTAAATTTTACATAGAATAGTCTAACTACTAAACTACTATAATGAAATCTCTTATATCAAATCAAAGTAGATTTTAATTTTAGTTTTTTTAAACGGAATCTCATAACATACACATATACTTTTATTTTTATTTATTTTTTAATATACTTTCATATTATTTATCTTTGATGTTTAATATTTGTTCTGACCTGTCCCCGGTTTGACTAGGCAGGTTCAGCCTAATGATATTCTGTTAAGTTTAATTCAGTTTGGGCTACCGCCGTCGAGCACAGAGTTTCCACCAGGCAGACAATGTCCCTCCGCGGACAGAACCTTCTCCCTTGTCGGGCAGAACATCGTGTCCTTCACACGCTCTTCACGTGCTCCCCTCCGCGGGGACACGTCGTCCACCAACTGTCCACCTCCGAAAGAGCAGGTCAACATTTTCCGGAGTCCACGAAGCAGTTGAACTAGGGCGAATACCACGTTCTGATCTTCACTTCGCCACGTAAGCCCTAGCAGTCACTTGGGTTGGGCCTGACCATTGGGCCTGACCATCCAGCCCAACTCAAATGACCGTTAGCCCAGCGCTGGGGTCTCTCTATAAATACCCTCTTCCTCAAGAGGGTTAGGTATTCTCTTCTCAACCTACTTTCTGTATTTGCCCTCACTCTGCCTAATTCCTTACTTTGGCATCAAAGTGTCTTGAAGGTACACCCCCTCCTCCTCTTCAATACCGGTGAACAGGCAGTGAGTCAAAAACGCGTGACAGCCAGCGATTCCCTTCTGATCAGGTCAGATCAATATTAAAGACAATTGATTTTTTTTATTTATAAAAAGTATAATGATTTATTATAACAGTAGCGATGCAGTTTGTTGTCTATTTGTTTGCTATTTTTGTAAAATTTAAATTATATATGTATATATATAATACAGAAATTATATAGTGTATTAATATAATATTTGAGAATTATAATTTTTTAATATTATTTATTAATTTAAAATAATCAATTTTTGAATTAATTTAAATATATAAAAATTAATTTAAATAGTATAAAATTACACCAACATAAATTATTATTCTTTTAAAAAATAATAATCTGAAAATGAACAAAATCATATATAATTTTAAGATTGAGTCAGATGTGTAATTTTTGTTCAAAATTTATCCAAAAATCACAATAAGGCTTATATATGAGCATGATTCCTTTTAATTTGGTAAACACATGTTTCCATATTTAGCGGCTCTCAAGCATCGACGGCTCCGAGCCAAGCATTAATTTGAAGGAATTATGCCCTTTTGTTTTATCTTTCGATGTTGACTTCCAATTTATCACCAACACAAGTCAAGATACTAAAATTTGGGTGACTTTAATATATATCTTTAAAATATATTATATAGACGGACTTTATTATTTTTTAAATAAAAATATATTTTATAATAATAAAAATATAAAAATAAATATAATAATTTATTAGAGTTGATTAAAATTAGTAAAATTTATCATTGAATGAAAGCATATATTAAACACTCTTCAAAAAATTTAAAGGGTGTGTAAAGAGAACCTTACCCAATATATAAAGAGAATACTTTGTTTTGGTGTGACCTATTTTTCTATCATTTTTATCTTTATTTTATTGTGTAATTTACTTAATAACTTTCTATTATTAACTTTCACATAATTTATTATTTTTAACTTCCACGTAATTTCTTATTATTAACTTCCACATATTATATTTTTTTAAAAAAATTTATTTTAATAAAAAATATTGTTTATATTTTTATACGAATTAAAAAAGCGGACAGACGGACGCGAGTGTCCGTCTGGACGCTAGTAATATATAAAAGAGAATACTTTGTTTTGGTATGGCTTATTTTTTTTACCATTTTTATCCTTATTTTATTATGTAATTTACTTAATAATTTTTTATTATTAACTTCCACGTAACTTCTTATTATTAACTTCAACATATTGTAGTTTTTAAAAAATTTATTTACTCTTATTTTATTATGTAATTTACTTAATGACTTTTTATTATTAACTTCCACGTAATTTCTTATTATTAACTTCTACATATTATATTTTAAAAAAAATTTATTTAAACAAAAATTATCGTTTATATTTTCATTCATACGCATTAAAAAAGCGGACAGACGGGCACACGAGTGCCCGTCCGGACGCTAGCATAAATAAAAAGCATAAATTCCTCGCACACCTCTTAAATATGGTAAAGTTTTATCTAAACTATTTATAAGAATTTATATTAGATTAATCTGTTTTTTAATAATCAAGAACCGCATTTTCAATAAAATAATAAATTTAGATTTTTAATCACAAAAAACGTAGATGATTTTAGGAATAATTATAAAACTTATTTAATAATAATAATAATAATAATAATAATAATAATAATAATAATAATAATAATAATAATAATAATAATAATAATAATAATAATAATAATAATAATGAGTGGTAGTAGAATGTTATAATCTATTGGATTGATGTTGTTGAGCCTATCATTGCACCTGATGATATTGATTTTGTTATGTTAGATGTTGTTAATTTTTCATTGCCTAATTTTGATAATTCTAGATCATCCACTGCTCATGGAGGTTTTTTTTTTCAAGTGAGAATGTGCTTGTACATCCAATTGAAGATGTGGTTGAACCACTTGTTGAAAATGTAGTTGATCCTCATGTTATAGCTGAGGTTGCACAACCTAATGCCTCGGTTGAGCAAATTCATGTTAAAAGGTCAATAAGACAAAAGTGACCTGCTATCCCTGATGATTTTGTAGTTTATCTTAGTGAGAGTGCTTATGAATATTATTTTGTTATTGATCCTAAAAATTATCTAGAAGCTATTACTTGTTCTTAATATAACATGTGGACATATGCAATGCATGATGAAATGAAATCCATGGTCAATAATGATGTCTGGTAACTAGTGGATTTACCAAGAAACTATAAGACGATTGGCTGCAAGTGAATATTCAAAACAAAGAAGGACTCAAAAGGTAAAATTGAGAGGTTTAAGGCAAGAGTTGTGGCTAAGGGCTTCACACAAAATGAGGGGATTGATTTTAATGAAACTTTTTCTCCTATTTCCACTAAATACTCTTTTAGAATGGTCATGTCCGTTGTAGCATATTTTGACTTAAAATTGCATCAGATGGATGTTAAGACTGTTTTTTCTGAATGGTGATCTTAATGAGGAGGTGTGCATGCAGAAAGCTGAGGGTTTTATGTCAAGTGGTAATAAGCATTTGGTTTGTAAATTAAGAAAACTTATTTATGTTTTGAAACAGGCTTCCAGAAAATGGTACTTGAAATTTGATGAGGTGGTGACTTCATTGGGTTTTGAAGAAAATAAAGTCGATCGATGCATCTATCTTAAGGTTAGTAGGAGCAAATTCATCTTTCTTGTGTTATATGTTGATGATATTTTGCTTGCCAGTAGTGATCTTGGTCTACTTCATAAAACCAAACTTATGCTAACCAAGTTCTTTGATATGAAAGATCTCGGTGAAGTATCTTTTCTGTTTGGACATGAAATACATAGATAGATCACATGGTGTACTTGACTTGTCATATAAGCTTTATATTGATAGAGTCTTAGAAAGGTTCAATATGCAGAACTGTAAGCCAGAGGATGTTCTAATTACTAAATGAGACAAATCCAGTAAAGATCAATGTTCTAAAAATGAGATTGAGCGGGCAAAGATGAAGGGAAAACCCTTTGATAGTGTATTGAGCAACTTGATATATGCTCAAGTATGCACTAGGCCTGGCATTGATTTCATAGTTGGCATCTTGGAACAATATGAGTCTAATCTCGGGAATGATCATTGGATTGCTGCTAAGAAATTGATGAGATATTTGCATAGAACCAAAGGGTATATGCTTGTTTTTAGGAGAGTTGAGAACTTGGGACTCTGATCTTGTTGAATGTGTTGATGATATGGAATCTACTTCTAGTTACATTTTTATGCTGGTTGGAGGTGCAATATCTTGGAAGAGTAAAAAGCAAACTCTTGTTGCCTCTTCTACCATGCAAGCAGAGTTTATAGCTTATTATATTGATGCCACTCATGCTGTTTGGTTGAGAAATTTAGTGACTGAGTTTTGTATTATTAATTCTATTGCTAAGCCACTAAAGTTTTACTGTGATAATAATGTAGTTGTGTTTTATTCTAAGAATAATAAAACTTCTAGTGGTTCTAAGCATTTGGAATTAAAGTATTTGACATTCTGAGATCTTGTAAAGAAAAATAACATTGTTGTTAAGTACATTGGTACTGATTTCATGCTAGTTGATCCTATAACTAAAGGATATTGGCCATTGTGTTCAAAAACCATGTTGAGAACATAGGCATTGTGAGTTCTTTTGATGTATTTGGTTATTGGGAGTTTTATCTTTATGCTATTTTCTTATCATGTTGTATTTTATTTTGGACACTTTAAGTGTTGGATTGTCAAGTACTTTCAATTTTGACCAATTGATATTACAATGAATATTGTTATTATTATTTTTCATAGTTTAGTTATATGTCAATTGTTAAAATTGAGACTCATTGTCATTGAGCTCGGCGTCTTCGTGACTACTATACCAGTGGCCGGTGCCATATTAGGGCTGAGGT